TCTGTCTCAGAAAAAAAAACAAAAAAGAAAAAGAAAAAACTAGCACTGACATAAATAAATTTAGCACTACAAAAGATAAAGCATACTTTAAAAAGTGGAACCCTATATAAAGAAATAATAAAGAGTTAAAAGAAATTTTACCTATATTGTTCTACTTTTCTAACAATTGTTCAGAAATGCTCGAGTAAAGTCTTACACATTTAATAATGACATTTTTCTGCTGAACAAAATTTCTAACTCAGGTTTCAATATAAAATAACCACTATTTTTAAAGCATATATTTTAAATTATGGTGAAGACTACAAGATTCTCTCTTGATAATGTGTCACGTATGTAAAGTTTTGGTTCTTACCTTTATTTCTAATGTACCACCAAAGCCCATTTTAAACTGTCCATGCATATCTTTGGTAAAGACTCTTTGAAAAGTTTGCTTGAATAAGGAAGTGTTGAAAGAATCACCCATTACCATGTATCCTCTACATAGAAAAGAACAAAAAACAATGTACATGACAGTTACCAGGTCAACATATTAAAACCAGAAAATTACCTCTCAAGACTACCAACAAATCTTAAAGATATTTCCCAAAATGTGCTGTATTACCATTAATTTTTAGAACTCAAATAAGAATATCCTCACTCTACAAATAATCTGAATTCTGAGGGTATCTGAGTGCCTCTAACACCTGCATTTGTTCTTGATAATCTTTTTAAATTCTTCTTTTAATAGGAAACACATCTACACATTACAAAATTTGAAAGGTACAAAGGGTATATATTAACAAATGTGTCTCTCCCACCCCTTTCACCCAGTTCTCCATATTGGTGAAGATACCTGACAGTTTACAGCAAGCATTCTCATTCATATACACATATATATATATGCATACATTATATGTGTCACATGAAACTTATGAGTATTATACCCAGCAAACAAGAACAGAGGGACATTAAGGGAACATTGTCACTTTATGTACTTACATTTCTTTAAATTTTTTTCAATAACCATGTACCTACTTTTTAATTTAAAAAAAGTTTTTTAGTAAACTTATGAATACGGCCGGGCGCAGTGGCTCACACCTGTAATCCTAACACAAGATATTGTGGCATTACTAAAAGAAATATCAAAAAGTATTAACAGGCCAGGCGTGGTGGCTCACACCTGTAATCCTAGCTCTCTGGGAGGCCGAGGCGGGTGGATTGTTTGAGCTCAGGAGTTCGAAACCAGCCTGAACGAGAGCAAGACCCTGTCTCTACTAAAAATAGAAAGAAATTAATCGGACAACTAAAAATATATAGAAAAAATTAGCCGGGCATGGTGGCGCATGCCTGTAGTCCCAGCTACTCAGGAGGCTGAGGCAGGAGGATCGCTTGAGCCCAGGAGGATGATGCAATGGCACTCTAGCCCAGGCAACACAGTGAGACTCTATCTCAAAAAAAAAAAAAAAAAAAGTGTTAACAGATGTGTTAACAGATCTTGAAGTGGTAGGATAATAACTCTTTTTGTTTTCCCCTGAACTGTGATTATTGGTTCATATTTATAAACTGTCATTAGTTCACCATTATAAAACTGTAAAAATTTAAAAACATACCCAGTAAGGTTGGGACAGCATTTCATCTCCAGGAGACCTGTCTGATCTAATGCACATGCATAGATATCAATAACATGGCCAGTTGTAGCAGCTCGATTAGCCAATGCTTCAAAATGCTACAAAAGATTTTTAAAAGTTAAATCAAGGTAATACATAAAATCATCCTATAAATCTTTTTTCCATTAACAGATCAAAATGATCTAAGAAAAACTAAAAGAATAACCCATCATAACCTAAATATGATTTATTCTTATTTAGTTTTCTGTAGTGTTCATAAAATGATACCACAACTTCTGTAAGTCTGACATTTTCACATTTTTTTCTTTAAAACTCCTAAATGAAGCTAAATGTAAAGAAAGGTATATTGGACATCTTGTTCTTCATATATAAACATGGTAGAACAACAACAGAGAACTCTTTTTCCTGACTAAATCCACACACAAGTAACAAAAACATCCAAAAATAGTGAGACAATACAAAAGCAGTAAGATAATCTAAAACATTTCTTTAAACTCTAACCAAGAAAAATTCCACACTCAAAAAGGAAATTAGTTGGCAGGAAAAAAGCATCCACTAACAGAGACAAAAATTATCTGTCATTAATTACCTTTAAAAATATAATAATGACTACCAAACAATATGAGATAATATAGTAAAACTAAACTAAAACTGGACTCTAGAGAATTTTTTTAAAAATTAACAAAGACATTAACAGGTAGAACCAATGTAAGAGAGTCAAGAATCAACATTAGTGAAATGTACTTACATAAACCCAAAAAATATGAAGTTACAAGAACATAAAACAATTCATAAGAAAATGATGGACTGTTCAAGCTATGAAGCATATTGATATCTAGAGGAAACATTAGGGACTGTCTCTTAGAAATGAAAAACTATAAAATGTTAAGAAACTTTTCGTAAAGAGAAAGACATTCTTTAACATGAATATTTAAAAAGGCACAGAGGGTTTTTCTCAGGAGTAATCTTTAAGCAGATACCTATTGGTACCTACGTTGAAGTTGTTAAATATTTCAAATCAGAAAAACTGTAACAAGTTATCAAGAAAAAAAGAATATTTCTCTAATTCTGAATAGCAGTTATAGTATCAAACTTGATAATATCAAATTTATATCAAAAATATTTTTATTCTTCCCCTTCCTTATATCAAAAGAATACTTGATTTATAATAACACAAAAAGCCTTAAAAAGCCAAAATTACCTTAGTTCCCTTTTTAACATATTTGGCATTGTCTTTTTCAATGTCATGCCATGATCTTATAGGTGTCTTCAATTCATCTCCAACCACCATTCCAGGCCCCTGAGTAGCAGGACCACCGATGAACATCATGATACGAGCCCCAGTATTGGGAAAAGTACACTATTGAAAAAAAAGTAACTTGTCAAAAGAGTTTAAAGGAAAACAGAAAACATATGGATATACATTTGTGATAAATTTTGACATTCTTTCTAGATAAAAGCAAATTTTTCTAATAGATATAATAATCAA